GATATATAGCAGATATCACTCTAATATCCTCTCGAATCTCTCCAGGAAAACACAACAAAGATGTTACTCACAAGAAAACGTGCTCAAACTAAGACTTATGTTAAATGACACAAACTGGGAACTTTTCACTGAACACACTCTGGATGATACTATTTCCAATCTGACTGACTATCTTAAATTCTGCCTTGATGTATGCTGTCCTAAACAGATACTTTTCAAAAGAATAGATCGTTTCTCTTCTCCTCATCTCAAAAAGCTTCGGAGAGAAAAAGAGAGACTGTACAAGGCTAAAGATAAAGCTGGTCTTAGGAGAATAAACATGCAAATCAAATCCGAAATCAAGAGGTTAAACAATATTTATAATCAAAGAATTTTGTCATGTAAAACTCCTGGGAACATGTGGAAGCTTTTCAAAGAAATTACAGGTTGTGGTAAGCATAGTTCTTGTTCTCCCTCTATTGACGTAAATACTCTTAATAGATCTTTTATCCGCCTTCCCAATGTACCTTCTAGCTTCAATGTAACAAATAACATGACCAGTGACTTTAATAGCTTTAAAACTTCTGATGTTCTTAAATGTTTAAAATCTCTTAAACCTTCCCAGAGTCTAGGTCCTGATGGTATACCTGCCATTGTCCTAAAGAAATGTGCTGATATTTTAAGCAACCCACTTACAAACATTTGTAATACTTCTTTTTCTAATAATGTTGTACCTTCTCTGTGGAAAGATATTAAAATCATCCCTGTACCTAAGTCAGGCTCTGGTAATAATGCTAAGTTCAGACCTATTGCTATAACCTCTCCTTTTTTGAAACTAATGGAGAAACTATTGTTACTAAAACTTGTTCCCTCCTTAAGCTTCTCAAACGATCCAAAGCAGTTTGCTTACAAACAGGGTAAAAGTACTTTGGACGCTGCCGCTGTGTTTCATCACAACATTGTATCCTCCTTAGACAAAGGGGCCAAGTTTGTCCGTTGTACGTTCCTTGACTATACATCTGCTTTCGACTCTGTACCTAGAGGCCTATTGTTAAACAAGCTTAGCCTAGCACAAACTGAGCCCTGGGTTATCAACTGGCTGCACTCTTACTTCTCTAATAGGATGCAGTACACGGTATATAATGGTGCATCTTCCTCTCCATTGCTTACTGAAGCTGGAGTTCCCCAGGGTGCTGTTCTTTCTCCGTTTCTCTTTTCCTTCTTCTTACATGATTTACCTCTCTCAGATGAAGTCAACTTCGTCAAATATGCAGATGACCTGTCTGTATCGTTTTCCATTAAGTCTCAGTCAGACTGTCTCAAATTAAATAGCTTCCTGTCGGACATCAGTGAGTGGTCCAAACTAAATGGACTCATGTTGAATCCCTCAAAATGCCAGACTGTCGACTTCTCCCTTAGGCATAAACGGGATCTACAAACACTAGTAAGTTCTCATGAAGACTGTTGCATTGAGGGGACAAAAATTGAAACTAAGTCTAATGCAAAATACCTCGGTCTAGTTATATCTTCTGACCTTACTTGGACATCTCATATCCTAATGATTTCTAGGAAAGTGTTCTGTCTTACCTACTACATTAGGAAACTTAGACAATCCGGAATCACCCAACCTCTACTTTCACAATTTGTCAACTCTTGTATCCTACCTATTTTACTTTACTGCTCCCCGTTAGTCTTTCCTGGTCTACTGAAAAAGGACTATTCCATCCTGAGAAGGATGTTGACAGTAGTTAGTAGGACTAGTGGTGTTAATCTCAGCCAGCTCGTGACTACCTTAGTTGATAGGCATCTGAATACATGTGAAAAATGGTCTAAAACCATACTCTCAAACCCCCAACACCCCCTCTATTCCCAACTCTCGCCTTGTATCTCATCAAGTAAAACCAGAAATCAGTATAAAAGAATCTATGCTCGTACAACCAAGTACAGGAACTCAACGATACCATACTTGGCCCGTGTTCTAAGCGACAGAGACAATGTTAAGCGTGAAACCTGTGACTTGCTTTGTTATTAACAACATAAATTCATACTCTTTTATTTCTCTCTTATTTCGTATTCTTTAGTGAACTCCTTCTTCAAACTTACTTAGCTACCTGAAATATTAACATTGGCTTCCTTTTTTGTACTTTACTATATTCCTTCTATTGTGTATCCACTGGTTCCGACTATATCAGCACTATGAGTATTACAAAATTGTCGTGTCATTAACCATCATGTAATTATTAGTTTTGTGGTTGTTTCTCTTATTTTCTATACTTTTCGGCAATATTAAACTGACAATCATTGTTTGTGAAGGCCATAGTCACCACCTCAAAAAGAAATTTTGTATTATTCAGGATTACTCACACTACCACCACAAACACTGCACTAGACCTTGGTAGACTTTGGTACTTTTTTGCATTCATAATTATTTTGTGTTTATCCTGTTTTTTTTTTGTTTTTGCTGTTGGTGTCTTCAGATTTATTTTTTATTTGTTTAATACTTATTTTAAATGTCGGTAAAATTAGATGCAAATATTGTAGATATGTGCTGAAAATTCCACACTGTACCACTAGTACTGTTTCTGGAATAAAGCAAATTATTATTATTATTATTATTATTATTAGTTTAGACCACTGACTGATGTCCGACAGGAAGCTATTTAATTTGAAACATTCTGACTGAAACTTAACGGGTAGCGAAACAGTAAGGTCATCTGCATATTTGACGAAGTTGATTTCGTCTGAAAGAGGTAAGTCATGTAAGAAGAAGGAAAAGAGAAACGGAGAGAGAACAGCACCCTGAGGAACTCCAGCTTCAGTAAGCAAAGGAGAGGAAGATACATCATTATATACCGTGTACTGCATCCTATTAGAGAAGTGAGAGTGTAGCCAGTTGATAACCCAGGGTTCAGTTTGTGTAATGCTAAGCTTGTTTAACAAAAGGCCTCTAGGTACAGAGTCGAAAGCAGATGTATAATCCAGGAACGTACAATATTCAATACCCATCATTTTTATGATCAACAACTGCAGTATCAATATCAGTAAGCTTATTGAATACAAAGTATTCTTCCCCATCGTTAGTCTCAACTTGGCGAAATTTGTTCATTGTGGTGAGGTTACCAAGTTTGGGTAAGAATTTCTTAGTAGAGCTTGCAGCAGTTCTATCTACTCTATGGATATTAAATAACTTACGCCCTTATGCATCTAATTACTTCCAGTATTACAACAGTATTCCTTATTCATTTGATGTGTGTACACTAAACAAGTCTTTCATGCATTCTCCCACAAATGCCAAGGTTTCTAATGTCACAAGTGTTAATAAGATTTGCTTCCCTGTTTTCAATACAAATGACGTTCTAAAATATCTCCAGTCGCTGAACCGTTCTTGTAGCCTAGGTCCAGATGGTGCGCCTGATCTTATTCTTAAAAAGCGTGCAGATATCTTGTGTTATCCTCTGATGGACATATTTAGTGAATCTTTTTCCAGAAATGTCGTGCCAGCCGTTTGGAAGGACATTAAAACTGTACTTATTCCTAAGTCATCTACTGGAACGTGTATAATAGTAAGTACTACAAATGTTTCGAGAGAGCGAGAAACCAGCTTCTAGAAAAAGAAGACAGCAAAATCAAACAATAACAAATATTTGAAAGGACATTGGACATGAAATCCGATATTAAATCAAACTGACCAATCTGAAGCAAAGCTCACCGTAGGTTATCGCTCAGGCGGGACTATAAAATTGTGGTCTGCCTGATACGAAGGTGTGATTCCAAAGTTCGTATTTTCGATTAATACATAACGTTTATCTAGGTTTATTTATTTTTACCTTATTAATAAATAACATGTCTTCGAGAAACGTGTACCAACCCCATAGTTACAACGATGTATCAACACTGTAGTGTTAAATGTAAACTAATGTTTGTATGTAAATGTGAAAATCCCTCTACTTTCTTCGTTATGATAAACACGCGTGTTAGTAGTAAACAAAACAGCTGAATATAACCGAATGGTTGATAATAACAGGCTTTGATAACTTTAATTTTTGGCTGAAACAATAGCATGCACACTTCGTTTACTCTGATAATCCTTTGTTTCTGGGGTAAGAAAATTCCATCATATGACTTTTCCTGGTGCCCCCTCATACTTTAACAGTTTATCTACCTGTCCTTGTTGATCCAATCTTCCATGTTGTTTCTCTAATCTCTACGTAACTATTTAGCAAGTTCTCTAGAGAACTGCTGATTTCTTTCCTGCTTCTGAATGATAATTCGAATTCCTTTTATACATGTTTTTCAATAGATGGTTAATGTTTTTGTTTTATGCCTCAGAAATTCAGTGACTACTCGAAGGTATTTGACATGCACCGCGGAACCGTATTCTTGGACTGAGGAGCAAACGTAGTAGTAGTTCTAACTTGTCCAGAATCAGACTAAAATAATAGTATGCATTTGGATGGTCTTATTTTACCGTGATAAGACTGAAAATCTGAACCAACTTAACTACGTGTTGAGTAATCCTCGTGCCTTGTCGCAGTATACATCAGCATACTAACTTCATGTGAAACGTGACTGCTTCAAGCGTCAAGGTAGTTGTATAAAGCCTTCGTACTTTCTCAGTGACTAGGCTACTTAAATAGAACAATAGGCTTCACTTGGCCATAAATCTTAGTAATTAGTGATAAGTTACTTAGTGTTTCGGTGGTTTTATGAGATTAGATAAATGTGTGCAAAATATGTGAAATATCCTATAGTGACTTTAAGAAACACTTAAAGTCATCGCCGTTGTTTATTTTGTTTTCCACTGTATTAAAAACACATTGAGAAATTCCTGTTGTTTGTGTTGGAGCCATTAGTAACGTAGATTTATCATCGGCACAATTGCTGAGGTTTTTAACTATTTTCTCGATATACGTTCATATTATTCTCGTTAAGGTCTTAATTTTAATGAGTTTTGCTGTGTATTTTGATTATCTTATGCTTTCAGACGATTTCAGTTTCTTAGTCCTCTCCCGTTCTGCGTAATGTGTGATCGTGAATCCAGACTGAAGGCTATTGAGTCAGCTATTGGTACCTTTCCGGATTTCCCAGTAAAGGGTATTCAGTTTCGGTAGAAAACATTTGCTGAATAATTCTTGGATTTTTAGAGATATTTTCGGTGTATTCCGAAACCCTGTCTTAACGCAGTATTTGCTGGATGAAACATACAATATTGCTACATGTAACATACAATGCGGAAAGGTATGTCGTACTTATTAACCTTCTTTACAATATATTAGAAAATAGATGCTGTTGTAGGCCTTGAATCACGTGGTTTTCTTCTTGGACCAACTCTGGCTCTTCGATTGAATTGTTCCTTCGTCCCTGCTCGAAAAGCAGGAAAACTTCCAGGTCCTTGTTACTCTCATACATACGAGTTAGAATATGGAACTGTAAGTCTCTGTTGCAGTAGATGTAGTATTTCGTCTTATTTTTAAATTGCTTATAGTTATATGCAATTTCAGTTTAGACCAGTAGAGAGTTGATTAAGGTTAATATTGAGAAACTGAATCATCTGAATGCAGTAATGCGGTTATTGGATCACGAGTTCCAATTCCTCTTACCTTCTATGTACACTGAAAGTGTTTAAGAATTTGGTACTATCCTATAACCTGTAGGTTGAGAATTGGTCAAATATCTTAAATTATCTAGTAGGAATATTTCTTCGCGATCGCAAACTCCAAAGACATCTGCATTAAACCATATATATATATATATATATATATATATATATATATATATATGGTGTGTTAAGTCTCGATGAATCTGGAATTGATGTCAGTACCTATATAACAAAATAGGTGGTGACGGAAAGCTTGACAGCTGAGTGAATTGCATAAATTTTCTAACTTATAATTAGTCCATATACCTTTATTTCAGAAACTTAGCGTAATGGTGATAAACTCTTCTAGTACTAATATCGAAGCATTATTGAAATATCGGCTTATTAATCTTTCATGGAGTTTCTGTTCAGTAATTCCTGCAGTCGCTTGATGTGAAGCAATACTCCACATAGCAATTCTTTTAGTTTAGTGGTCAGTATAAAAGTCCTGTTAATATACGATTTATTAACACTACAGACTAGGGTAATTATCTTTCGTCACTTTCTATTGACCAGTTATCATACTGTGCAAGTAGCTTATCACCGAAAGTGCTTTTTTCAAAGTATAAATGTGAATTCTCTTTTAATAGCTCATCACATGATACCAACAGTGGTTAGTCACCAGATTTGAATGTGTATTATATTCAGCTCGTCTGCAAACAAGACTTTTAAGACAGATAACTTCAAGCATGCTTACTTTCAGAGCCTATGACTACACGTCACTTAACAGATCACTTGAACTGAATTCAATTCACAAAGTGTAATGCTGATAATTGAGTTTAGGTGTTCTGAGTCATTCAAATCGCTCAGGCATCTTCATCAATGTTGTACGCAAGTCTAAACTTATTAGAATCTATAACAGAATCACATATAAGTAAGTATATGATGGGTTAGAAGCACACTTAATCTACAGAAGTTAATGAATTTGACTACACATCAAATAGGAGATGTAGCTTTTTTTTCGCAAGCGCATATCGAGTGTACGGTCCTACCTTCAATCATGAAACACTAACGAACTTTTTCTGTCTGAACTACTTTAAGTGGAATGATATTATTGTCTGAAACCTAACCTGTTCAGTATTCTTGATAATTCTCGTTTGTTAACTAGTCTTCTAATTGTTACACTTGACACGTATTTGTCTTTTTCTATTTTTCGGTGTAATAGGATACTCTGGAAATTCAGAGAGATTCTGTAAAACCTGGGGATAATGTACTGCTGTTCGATGACCTAATAGCTACTGGAGGAACCTTAGAAGCGTGTGTCAAATTAATTAGACTGGCAGGCGCAACTGTCTTGTCCAGTTTGACGTTTATGGAACTGAAAGATTTGCCTGGACGTAAAAGGTTGGAAGATCTTGGAGTGAGTGTACACTCAATCTTCCAAATTTAACGGAAATATTTTCTCCAAATTGTTTATAGAACAAAAATTCCTATTCTTGCTCTCAACTATCCTTTAGCACAGGAATGTTTTATACTCACAGTATAATGTGTTGAATGCCTTATTATTACTTAGCTAAATGATTCGTTCTTCTATTATTTTGCTACTTATTTTTTAATGAAACCTGATGATATGATGAGAATTGTCTTTCTTTAACTTTACGTATTTACTGTTAATAGACTGTTTTCGTCTTCCTTTCTTCTATAACTGTGTATGTGTGTTTCGTTTTACTTAATAATATGTGACCGACATACATTTATTTGTCTTTAATTAAATTAGTTTGATTATTGTCGGGTAAGAAAGAAGACGATTATTAAGAATACATTTCACATAACAGTCGGAATCAGTTAGAAACAAATTAAAGTTCACACTATTCACGAGACATTCTTCATAAGTTAATACCAAATTTTCGAATATAATCACCACTTCGCCTCATAGATTTAAATAATTAAGCTAAAGCTCTAATCTATTTAGACTTTCGAGAATCTTAAAATATGGAATTACCAAATTGCTGCATGATTTGTTGACAATGCACTGTTGAACACAGTATTTGAGGGTACTCATTTATAAACCATGTAACTCTTCACAATTGTGGGAATCAACTTACTTTACTGAGCTGTGCAGTAGAAGGTGTTAGGCTGAATTATAATTTTAATAACAAACATACAACGTGAATTTAGCACTTAAGTTATAAAAAAGGAGTTCTTAAGGCATTCAAAACCTGCAGCTATATTAATCGTGAGGCATGATAAGACATAAATTATAGTAATGCTATTTTGTAAGCAATGTGGAATGGGATATATACAGATAACCTTTGCATGTGGTTTCACATTTTTACGAGTGAGCTGCAAAAAGTTCAGTATCAGTCAACACCTATTTGTACTGCTGATTTCCCGTCCAAGCATCTCAACCGGATTTCGACACATGGATTTCTTCAGACAGACACCTTAGCACTGTCATTATTTCCTACTTGAAGCATGTATCACTAAGAAATAACGCGAAACACTTCAAATGACGTACTTTCAATCTGTTTTCCAAATGTATCATTCAAAGTTTAGTGTGAGTAAGCGTTACTTTTCTTTTCGTATAAAACATGCCCTCACTATAACATATTTGTTTGTATGCCTAATAGTGTGCTTAGAATAGCCAATTATGACAGTAATTTTCACCCGGTATCTGCCTATATTATCAAGACGTTTGAATTCGCAACGTAAACTGCTTTTAAAGAGTCAAATTATTCATCGTGCGTTTATGTTCTTCGGTAGGTTACTAAGTGGTGCTCTTTAGACTACACTACCTTCTTCTCAATCACTATTGATCATTCCGTTGGATCACTATAGGAAATACAAATTCAATCTCACCTACTGCTAAGAATTCATTCTGCTGCCTAGTGACGTATTGAGTTATCCTTGAGTATAGACTTATTACATGTTAAGTAGTTTGTATTTAAATAATTTAGATGATAATCTTGTATTTAGACGACGATTTATTGACTAGAATACGATTCCGTCCTGGAAACCAGGGAGCTCTGGAGAGCTGTTATACCGTAGTTCAAGACACTTTTGAAGTGATAACCTGTGGCACTACCATCTCACCAGACCCGGTGGACACCACCGGTCACGACTTCTGATTAGAATCCTACCATTTTTATCTCAGTTTTAGTCACTGTTACACCTTCAGCTCTTTTTCTATTGACACAAGGTTTTGATGTTCCCATTTCACGAAGTTGACGGAGTTTGTGATTGACAGGTCATTGTTTCTCGATCCTGTGACTCAGTTTTAACAAGCTCACCTTTTAAAGTCATAGTTAGTATGTTTGGTGGGGTCGTGGTTTTTCACTGCTTAAGAATCCCTAATTGAGTCAAAGCAGCTGTCTAGTACTCCCTGGTTTTCATTGATTACTTTACTGGTTCCTAACGTAATCCATCTCAAAAGCAATCAACTTCACACTAATTCATTATTTAAAAAAGACATTTTTCATGATGTAGATATTGATGAACATTTGTTCGGTGTTTTGGTATCAGTCCAGTTCTAGCGTTTGTGTGTTCTACAATTTTCTGTGAGCATTCATTACAAAGTCAATATAAACCACGGCAATCCTTAGGTTAACTAGTATCACTTCAGTCTTATTCATTAGACAAGTGGGTAGTTGCATCACTGTATTGAAACTAATCTTAACAACGATAAGAAGAATGAACAAATACATGGTGCGTAGCTGTTCTATAGATGAAACTTTATTGAACACAAAAAGGTGAAGGACGTGGGATTTTAAGTGACAAGTGCTGGGTGTAGTCTGCGTAGTGTTAGGATAATCGCAGAAGAACTCAGTCGGGTGCGATATATGCAGGTAGAGTTGACAGCTGTAGAATGATTGTTAACAGAAACTCTGGACAGATGACTAAAGTCAGCTTGTATACAATCTGGTTCATAACATCACTGAAACCAGAAATACACATGCTTCAAATTACCTAGTTATGGATACATTATAGAAATTTCGTTTACGTGTGATGTCTTCAGTAGTTTGATGGATTTGAAAACGACCGTCTTCTCTTTGTTTCTTCAACGTGTCAACTGATAGTGTATAGTGTTTTTCGTAGGGAACTTATTTCATTCTGCTTACTAAGGAGTTTAAAGATGATAGTTCCCATAAACAATAATCTATTGCACCTAATCATCATGATTATTATTCGTCCCTTTCTTTCGGTAAATAGCTTGGCACCTCAGCAGAGCATCTCTATTTTATTCCATTCTCTGTTTATTTGTTTGTTTTAACTGGCCCCACGACGGTTCACTACCTTTCGTTGCGTCTTCACATGATGTCCTCCACGTTATACTGGGACGCCCAACCCATTACTTTCCATCTGACTTCAACTGTAGTACCTGGCTTATTATGTCACTGAACGGTCTCCACAGTGTATGTCCACTTCCTCCTGTAAATTTCTTGACTAGAAAATAGTTTCAAAACAATTAGTCCTTTCTATAATTTTGGATAATGTTATTAAAAGAAGGAGGTTATCTGAAAAATGTAATGTATTCGCGCAATATATTTTGAGTAGTCTGATCACACATTTACATGTCAAGTGATTTTATAAAGAACTAAAGGTCAATCAAAATACACAAAGTAACAAAAGGATTTCAGCATAATAGCAGTAATTCACACTACATTTGGTTATCTAACCAGATAAGGGTTACCAAGTTAGGTTAAGAGCAATAACAAATTGTTGTTGACCACACAGAGGGAGGAGACAAAAATATAGGGAGGAATATCCTGTCTTTGCATGTAAGGGCGGGGGAGCATATTCTGGAGTGGTTAGAGAAACAGATGAACTTCGGAAAATCGATAGACGCAGGTGGCAGACTACCAACTTCGTATATAGATAGTCATCTAATCCATGTGAACCACAAGATTGATATCGAAACGAGTGTGAAAGTTATTTTTATAAACGGTCAAGGGTGCTTAGGCGTTGGCTATTCGTAAAATTAAACCCGCTCCTCCCTGTGTGCACAACAACAATTTGTTATTGCTCTCAACCTACCTTGGTAACCCTTATCTGGTTAGATAACCAAATGTAGTGTGAATTACTGTTATTATTCTTAAATCCTTTTGTTACTTTGTGTATTTTGATTGGCCTTTAGTTTTCCTGGAAGTTAGGTGCTTGTTTATTTCCCCTCATATCATTTTCCCGTTCCTCATCATTTTTTGTCGGTCTTCTGATGTCCAATATGGAAACAGGAAAGGCTAATATTAATGAAAGTCTACAGCCTGTTCAAAGTGCTTTCAACGACGTGCAGCACAATTTTCCGAAACACTTTGAAGCACTGACATGACAGTGGTGTTTAAAGTTAGGGTCATTTTTCTTTGAGCTCAGTACTGCTGATCTTCACATTGATTTAAGTAATTAACGTCGTTCAGTTCTTCGACGTGGCGTCTTCATCCGTGCCACTGGTATTTGAGACGAAGCTTCTCAAGTAAGTGAAAGGGGCGAATTTCTTTAGATTCCCTGTATTGATGGTGTCTGTTGTTGTTGGTAGGACATTTTCATCAGTGCTGTCTTCTTTGTGTGCACTTGCAATCCTGTCTTCGCTGCCACATTTTCTAACTTGTCGGTCTCTGCTTGTAAATCTTCGACTTTGTGAGAAATAAAATGAAAGTCATCAGCGAAGTTCATCGATCCAATGTGCTAATCTTCTCTTCTTTTACTTGCATCACCACACTGGTAATTGGGTTTACCCCACCATCTCTCAATGGCTTCATCTGCGTAGATCCCTTCCTAAGAAGCAATTAGTTTATATGAAATAGTGTTGTTAGGTTTCTCTAATACGTAGCGGGTTTTGCTTTAGTTCCCGGTAAGCCATAAAAATCCTTTCCTAGCATTCATTCATCATTTGTTCACTGAATTGTATAGTGAACTCAGCTTCTCTTTCCATTATTCTTTTCTCCACTGGTGCACTTTCCGCATCAACATCCTCCCCAAGCTTGCCAACTTACGATTATCGGTACTACACTATATCATTACTTGTTCTGATTCTTCTGATAGGTTCATTGTCCTTCACCCCTTCTCCTGTGATCTTTGAAGTACGGAAAGTTTTCAGTTAGACCTTAATTACATGACGCACCAAAAGACTTATTGAACCTCAACGACAGCCTCCGATCCTGTTGCTCAAATCCTTAAAATCACACACTCAGTGAAGTAACTTAAATAGTCAGCGTATATGAGGTACAGTATTAACTATCCGGTTGAAAATTCATAGAGTCCACTTCCTTTAGATCTGCTTTCACAGATTCCTCGTACTTGCATACCATATCGTCAGGCTTCTACAAAATGAACGGAGTGGTCTGCCTAAAACATAGTGGGGATATTCCAAATACCCATGCTTAATTCCGCTTGCATCGGAAGGGAAAACAACAGTCGACTGGCCCTCTGAAAGCTTTCACACATTGGCTTCTTCCT